TTATAGTTAATGTTATACACATAACATAACATAGTTTATATCAGCAACAATCCAATTCCTCAGACGAACACTATACGGTACCTCGGATTAATATTTGACAGAAGGATGACCTGGGACCCACACGTCAAAATGAAAAGAAATACTTTGAACAAGCGACTGAAAATACTATACTCACTGTTTTCTAAAGCAAAATTGAAAATTAGACAAAAATTAAATACATACACTTACCTGCTACAAACCCATTTGGACATACGCCTCACAGATTTACGGTTCAGCAAAAAAGACTCACTTACAGAAACTACAATCCTTTCAATCTAAAATTTTAAGACTAATGACCCTGGTACGTCAACAACAAGCTTTACATACCGATCTAAGACAACCGACCATTGACCAGCACATACGTACTCTTTACTCCCGATTTCATCTTAAATTACACGGACATCACAATGGACTTATCAACGACATGGCCACGTGAATGCTCATCAGGACGACTGAAAAGGAGCTGGATGAGAGATCTGCTTTCCTGATTTTAGGATGTAAACAGACCAGGGAAGAGGTGCTGCTGGGTTCCATTCTTCGTCATGCCTATCATGTCATTTATCGACAAATCTGCTAATTGTCACTACCATGACAGGTGCGGATGAAAAATTGAAGACAAAAAAAAATGTATAGCAATTAGCAAATTTTTGAACCGATTGTTATCACAAAAGCATGTTATGTAGTTACATCAACATATATTTTTTTAACGTTTCGGCCACGTTAGTTTCCTACCTTCTTGCACAACTGTTGACCAAGAAACAGTACTTAAATAGTACGCAAGACGCTTCATAGGTTGTAGTGGTAGAGGTTTTTTTTTATAATAATAATAGTAATATTTAAAAAAATAATGATATAAAGTGATTTTCTTTTTTTTTTTAAAGCTAATGAGTATATTGCAACCCTTTCAGAAGGCATCAGCCGAGGAAATGTTCAACCCGCATTGCCGGGTCAGGAGTCACATCCAAGGCCACCATGATAAAGAGGGATCCCACTGACGTTTTCGTTGATAACGGAAAGTATTTTATTTAGCCAGGATCGCTATCGGGAAAAAGAGAAGAAGGAAGCTTTCCAAGGACGGAATAATAATTCGAGAGAACATTAATAAATCCATTAGATATAAAAATAATGAGATTGGTTACCGATGATTTTTCCTTTGATCAGGTCGAACAGTATTAGGCTTGCTACAACAAGGGTACGTGGTCGAATAAATAAGTATTTTTATGATGGTACAAGCGCTATAAAGACGATGAATATGCAGAGACATTGAATATGCAATATACAGCAACAATAAAAAAAAAATGCACGCAATTTCACAAGAGTAAAAAACAAATTTTCATATGTTCAGAACTCTCTGAGTGAAAAAATAGGAGCGATTTTTTTTTTTCCTGAAAATTCTATAAAATCACTTAAAATATAATAGAAAATATTGCATAATAAATTATAAAAACACTAAATCGACCAGCAATGTGACAGTGGAAGTTATCCAACCAAATATTGATTAAGTTTATGAAATTAATTAAATAAAATGTGGAGTAAAAAGACAAATGTTTTGTAATAAAATAAGATAGAAAAAGAATGTAAGCAAATAAAATAAAATGAATGATATAAGCACATTAAAAAAATAGTTTACACATTAAAAAAAATTGTAACAAATGTCAATGTTGTACTTCGTTCTAAAACTTTTAAGAATTGTCTCTGAAGGTGTGCAAAGGGGCGAAACGTTAGACATAAAAAATAAATAATATTTTACGGAAGAGAAAATAGTTTCATATGATTATACCTAAAAAGTCTTTATTCATCTATCTAAAGGACATCTTTATTCTCTTTCAGGCGTTGTAAAGACGATGAATATGCAGCGATATTAAATATGCAAAATACAGCAACAATAAAAAAAAATGCTCGTATTTCCACAAGAGGAAAAATAAATTTTCATATGTTCAGAACTCTCTGAGTAAAAGTAATAGCGATTTAAAAACAGTTATATATATATATATATATATATATATATATATATATATATATATATATATATATATTAGTACAAAGACCATTAAATAGTCCAGCAATGTGACAGTGGAAGTTATCCAACCAAGTATTGATTAAGTGTATGAAATTAATTAAATGAAATGTGGAGTAAGAAGACAAATGTTTTTTCTGACATGCACTGTAATAATACAATAAGATAGAAAAAATAATATGAGTTAGTAAAATAAAAACGAATGATATAAGCATATTAAACAAATATTTTACATATTAAAAAAATTGCAACAAATGTTAATATTGTAGTAACACTTTTAAGAATTGTCTCTGAAGGTGGGTAAAGAGCCCGAAACGTTGGACATAAAAATACTACTTTTATTCCTAGGAACTTTTATTTATTTTTTTTAATAAAATTTCCTAGGTATTTTTTATATATATTTGTATAATACTTACATGCCAGAATAAGGTACATATTTTGTAAACTCTACTATTATTCTAAGGGAACTTCAGTGGCAGAATAAAATTATTTTTTATTTCATTTCAAAAAATAAATAATAATTTACGGAAGAGAAAATAATTTCATATATAAAAAATAAGTATAAAAAAATAAGTATTTTTATTCTCTTTCAGGCGTTGTAAAGAGAATGAATATGCAGAATATGCAGCTATTTTATTGTACTGACATATGTAATATACAGCAACAATAAAATAAGAAAATGCACTCATTTTCATAAGAGATAAAATAAATTTTCATGTATAAATGTTCAGAACTTCCCGAGTAAAAGTAAGGGCAATTTTTTTTTCAATGGAAAATTCTATAAAATTACTTGAAATATAATAAAAATTATTGCATGGTAAATTATAATAGTAAAATAGGGAGGGAGTACCTGTTGAGGATTTATTTTCATCATTAAAACGAAAAGTTGCAATGAGAACAAATGGGTAACTGAAAATCAATTAAGGAAAATTATAAGTGACATTTACTCCTGGTTAATGTCGAACAGAAATAAACGCAGACAGGAAGTGATCCTTACGCGCCTCTGTATAGGTCACACAAGTCATGGATACCTGATGGCTCGCGATTCTTCTCCTACATGTCAAACTTGAGGAACTTCACTAATTATAAAACTCGTTCTGACAAAATGTCGAGCCTACGATCCAATTAGAATATCTTATGGCTTACCAAACGACCTACATGTCATTTTACAAGAAAATACGAATATAATTGGCAGACTTTCATTTTCATTGAAACGTATGAAATTGGATTATGACATTTAACACTTAACGAAACAATGCGATGATTATCCTGCTGGTTGACGACATAAAATAAATTTTTAAAAACAAACTTTTTTTCCAAATTGAACCAATATTAAGCAAATATACGACGTGTTGGACGTCATATCCCATGTTGATGGATGTTACCATGGAAACTCATACACATATTTTTTTTTAATAACCCCAAATCTAGATGTCTTATTTTGCTCCCCTTCTCCCTACTTTTCGACGATTTGTGGATTTCTATCCCAACCTAATGGCGTATATTTTTTTTTTACCAATACAACATATTTAATTATATCTCTTCATTTCAATTTACTATCCATAATCCGTACATTCAACCTGCATTTAAAAATATATATACTTAAAAGTAGCGCATCGTTCTATTATAACAACATTTAATTCATTAACAACGATTTCAAACATCGAATAAAACTGAACATAATTCAATTGTTTTCGAGCATAAAAGCATAATTCAATTTGGCAAAAAAAAAAAATGCATTAAATTATCTATGGTAACATAATTTATTAATACTTAGTGTTTCTCATTAAGTATTAATAAACATTATCAGCCATGAAGAATATATATAGTTCATAATGAAGTACTATTTCTAAGGTTTTGGTCAATGTTTCTTGCGAGGAGGTGATTTGACGTTCACGCTCGACTATCCGGTTTTTCCTTATAATAAGTTATTAAATTAAATTTATCTACTTTATAGAGGGCAAGTGTATTCTAGGAGGGTCTCAAAATATAGAGTCGATTAAAAGCTAATGAAACAGAATTAGTAATCACCTATCACAGTCGGATTCGAACTGAGTATAGGATTACAGTGTCTTACTCACTGAGCTACCTGTTTTTTTTAAATTAAAAGGAAGTATAACAAATATTGATGATAAAGGAGGAAATATACGTGAATGACCACCGCAGATAAATAGAAAAAAAAATACAAATGAAGAATAAAAAATCCTCGAAACCTAAGAAAGGGAACGTAACGGAAGGTCACTAATTGTAAGTACATTTTGTGAGAGAGCTGAACTTTTAAGAATGTTTTTTTTTGTGAATTTCGTCCTCGCATATATCGATAAATAAATACGGTAATTGCACTAAATTGAAAAAAAAACCTTATATAAATCAAATATCGTTGCAACAAACACACAATTTTATAATTTCGCAGAAAGAAAAAATAGTCATCAAAAATCTTATTGATTTAAGGTTATGAAATTTCACTTAATGAAGTTTTGGAATAAACTGACAATATGTATATTTTTTTAGGTAGGTACTGAAATCACAAATATCTTAATTAATACTGATAAATATTTATTTTTTTTTTAATTAAAGAGAAAGGTGGGGGTAAGATCTCATCACTTTGAAAACACCTAAAAAATCTTCAGACTTAGCGTGCAAAATAAAAAAAATTAATAAAACGTCAAGCCTTGGCAATATTCTGGTTTATTAAACTTAGTAATTTAAAACGACATAAATCGTCAATCAACACAAGATTTATTAATTTATTATAGAATATAGAATTGTCAATTTATTTTCTTGCATTAGTTTACTAAAATATAACCAAATATTGGTTTCATTTAAATTAAATATTAAATATTATTGATAATAATAATAAAATTAATTAAATTTGCTCAAAAAACTAAATATAATACGTTTAAGTGATGATAAGTTGTCAAGATAGTTGCTGGCACTAAAATATTCACAGAGATGATCGCACAAATATTTGAGAAACGTTATCTGAGCAGGTGTTTCGTAATTCTGTTGAGGACGCGAGGTCAAGCGGCGCCTGGGGCCCCCTCTCTAAATAAAGAATTTAAATAAAATTGTTTAAAAAATATATATTTACAAAATTATATTTTAAAAAAAACTTAAATTACCTATATACAGACCCCTTTCCAGATCTCAGAACCTATGTATTTTGATGAATGAGGTTATCAAATGAAAGTGAATTTCATGAAAAGTGACAAATTCCAATTTAGTTTCTTAAATATCCACCGCTTTAATATGCTAATATTAAAAAAAAATATTTTGAAAAAATAAAAAAATTATTTTGAAAAAATAAAAAAAATTTTGAAAAAATAAAAAATATTTTGAAAAAATAAAAAAATTATTTTGAAAAAATAAAAAAATAATTTTCAATTAATATATCTGGAGTACGCAACACAATTTTCACTTACCGCTCTACTTTGAATAGAAATTATTTTCTGAAAATGTTGGGCTATTATAAAATTTTTTAAGTGCATTTTTAACCGAACTACAGCTTAAAGCTTACAGCTAACAAATCATTAATACCATTGAAATAACAAATACCCTATTTATTATATCAGCGGTTAATTATGGATTGTACGACTATTAGTTATTACACTGTTATTTTACATTGGAAAGTTTACTAAAATTGAATTAAGAGATTTGTATTACCTGCAATAGACAAGAAAGACAAGAAACTGTCAACAGATTCCGGCTACTACAACACTTACTTGACAAACGCTCTAAATTTCCAATATTCTACAAAAAACCTCATTTACACTACCATCATCAGGCCCATTTGGACATACGGTATTGAGCTTTGGGGCCCCACAAAAGTATCAAAATTTTCCCGTATCCAATCCTTACAATCCTCTGTAAAATCCTAGCTGGTCCTTATTATGTAACAAATAGAATTATCCATAAAGACCTCAACATTCCTCTTGTGGAAGATTTGGCCCGAACTAGATATACCTCTTTTCACTCCAAACTCTTTGGTCACCCCAATCCTCTAGTTTGTAACCATTCATCCAACACAATTTCTGAAAACCCTCCGAGGCGTCTGAAAAGAAGATGGCCAACGGACCTCCTATATTAATTTATCTTTGAAGTGTTACCAATGGGTAGCTTCTTCACAAGTACCTTCATGTTATATATTCCTATAGCAGATTTACTGGTTGTATATATGTTTACAGTTGTAAATTTCAATAAAATAAGAAAGAAAAAAAAAAAGATATGTCAAAAGTTGTCACACTAATTGTAAGTGGATACTGTTGTAAGTGATATCACAAATGGAAAATTCATCAAACTATTCACTTTAATTTTATAATAGTTTACATGATAATTTTCGGTAGAAACTGAGGACAGATACCTAATTATTTAAATATAATATCAGACCTAGTGATATTAAACTACAGTAAATGTATTTAAGGTTAAAAAAATATCCATGAAATATTGTTATATTTCACATCTTCTTTCACACAAGTACATTGAAATAGTATCTTAAACAATGACATTGTCTTGATTCGGTGGAATTACCTTGGAAACATGTGATTTACGTTAAATAATGTAATTTAAAAAAATATTTTTTTTTTTTTATAAATTTTCTTTTAAAGATTTATACACCGCGTTTTAAAGGCAAAAAAAATGTGCCATTTGAAGATAAATCGTAAGTTTGCCCTAATTCTCCTAGATGCTATGGTCGGTGTTTATTACGTGTTTAAATATTAAAAATTAAATTATTATTTTTAATTATTAGTCTTAAAATAAATTTGTTTTATATTTTAAACTTATTGAAAAAGTTAGTTGGAGGAAAATAGCTCTAAGATCTCATCAACACTTTGGATAATATATAAAGAAACTTTTTGATTTTTTTTCGGCTTCAAGATTTTAATCAAGACCATATTTTACCAGAGATTTATGTTTCGTCAAACATAAAATTCGTAATTTTATGTTTCTTATAAACGTATTAAATTGAGCCTTCACGATGTTGCTCTTTTAATATTTTAGGAATATTGAGTGCCGATGTCTCGATATATTTCCTAAAGTATAAAGCTTCACTAATTGTGTGTTTTGAACAAACCATCTTGATGATATTATACTGAATATAGAAATAAATAAATAGGTTGATGCCTAAGTATGTTAATGAACCTCACACCCTGCCTATAATTCAACCTTGATAGCGGATCTCAAGGTTGACTTCTATTACAAATTTCACCCAAAGACCCGACCATTGAGAGTGAGTGTGTGTGTGTGTGTGTGTGTGTGTGTGTGTGAGAGAGAGAGAGAGAGAGAGAGAGAGAGAGAGAGAGAGAGAGAGAGAGAGAGAGAGAGAGAGAGAGAGAGAGAGAGAGAGAGAGAGAGAATAGGACGAAGTTAGGAGCTAGAAGTGGCGCGAAGTTAATAATACGTCGTCAGTATAGGAAGCGTTGACCTTCTTATCTTTATGGCTCAAGCTTTCTCAATCCCTAACAAGTTTTTTTTGTTTTTTTTTAATGTCATTTATGAAAAAAAATCGCAGTTTCAATTATTATTTAAGGAATGTTCGGGAATATTTAGCCAGGTAATGAACTTTCGAACCTGTAGTTCGGAGCCTGTCTATACAAAAAAAAAAAAAAAAAAAGAGAAAAGTTTCGGAATATAAATGTTTCAATTTTCGTGAATCTTCCATCCATTGAATAATTTTATGGCCACTAGTGTATTCGGTTTCCGTTATATTGGTTTGATATTTTACAGCAGTTGTTTTCTTCGAAAGAATATCAAATAATATAAGGATATTCCTAAAAACTAGACGAAAAGTTCAACGAAAATAGAAATTACAACGGAATCTGTATCTTTATCTATTATTTCTCAAAAGATTTTTTTTTTTTTAGGTGCAGCATATGCTTAATACTTCCTTAATAATTCATCAAACCCAATGATTATCTTCTCCTTTACTGTCGAAAAATAAATAGTTGATCCAAAAAAAAAAAAACAGAAAAAACAGTTGCAGAGGAAAAAACAATTTATTTGCACTCAAATCTAAAATTATAATATTTGTGGTGAATTATACCCATGATAATTTGAAAGGTTATCTACAAAAAAAAAGAGGAACGTTTAGGAATACAAATGTTTCAATTTTCGTGAATCTTCCATCCATTGAATAATTCAATTGCCACTAGTGTATTCGCTTTCCGTTATATTGGTTCGATATCCAACAGTTTCTTGTTTTATTCGAAAGAAAATTAAATAAAATAAAAATACTAAAAGAAATGAAAATAAATAGACAAAAAGTTTCAATTAAACTTTTAATTTTTGTGAAACAAAAATATAAATTACATCGGAATCTCGATCTTTATAAATTATTTCTCAAAACATTTTTCTTTTTTGTCAGTACGGCATATCATCCTTAATACTTCATCAAACAGAATGAAAATCTTCTCCTTCGTTGCCAAAAAAGAATACTTCATTCAGAAAAAAAACGGGGAAACAGTTGAGAAGGAAAAAAAAATTGCACTTAAATCTAAAAGCATATAATTTATGCTGAATTATATCTATGATAATTTGAAAGGTTATCAACAAAAAAAAGAAAAAAAAAAAAAAAGGAATACAAATATTTCAATTTTCGTAAATCTTTTATCTATTGAATAATTGTATGCTAGTAGTGTATTCGATTTCCGTTATATTGGTTTGATATTATACAGCGATCGTTTTGGCCTAAATAAAATAAAATAAAATAAAAATACCCCCTCCCCAAAAAATAGACAAAAAGTTTCAATTAAATTTTTCGTGAAACGAAAAAAGAAATTGCATCGGAATCAATATCTTCATAAGTTATCGTTCTAAACTTACAGTAGACAAAAGTATACAATGTAAGGTGAATTATTCCCATGGTATTTTAAAAGGTTACCTACAAAAAAAAAATCTAAGGTGTGTGCTTTAGACCACACGATAGAAGTGGAAATATCAACAAGGCGAGATAATTAATATGAAATATAAATTATAAATAATAGGTTATTATAAAGAGGAAGAAATGCTGAACTATTCCCTCGCTCATTGAATGTAGGTGCGATTTTTAGTTTATGAGATATTTTAATACATATGTAAAACATTTCAAATAGTCGACGATCAAGCCGACTTTGACCCGAGCGTTAACACTTCGGAAATATGACGGATCAATCAAATTCACTTCCCACAAATAATTTCTAAACGCGTCTTAAGAAGTTTTCAATTAAAAAAAAAAAAAGGAAAGTTTAGGAATACAAATTCAATTTTCGGGAATCTTCGGTCCATTGAATATTTATATGACCACTTTCCGGTTACATTGGTTAAATATTTAACAGCAATTTTTTGCTCACAATAAAAACTAATAAACTAAAATACTCCTTATATTTGAACAAAAAAAATTGTATTTACACTTAATTTTTTTTTTCATTTCAGGTTTAAGTGTAAGTTTTCTAGTTTAATTAAAATTAACGTTAATTGAATAGTAATTTAAAAAGTAAACTTTTTCGTCTGATTTGTTGAAGGATTTGTAGATTTCATTACAATAAATTTAATTTTTACATATTATTTCTCAAAACTATGTTGTTGTTTTTTTGGTCGATAAGTGAAATCTTCAATAATATTTCCTTAAATCCAATGAATGAGTCATCATTTTGAATTTTCTTTTCTCCTTTAGAATAAAAAAAAAATAATTACGATAAAAAGCACGGAAACCCGTTAAGAAGAAAAGATCATTATATTTTCGTTATTATAATTCATTTATTAATTCAAAAATTATAAATTTATAGTGTATTATAGCCATGATATTTGAATAGTTCCTAAGTCCATAAAAAATGAAAATTTTCTGTATATTTTGGGTGATTATTTTCAACAATAAACCATTTTAAACGAACGAAAAAAAATTATCACCAATATATACAAATTTATCAGATTTATTTATTTCCATAATGTATTACCGTTTGTCAGCTGTGCGAGTTATTCACACGGGTAAACTAATATTTCAGATTTTTATAATAGTTGTTTCCTTATTTACTTTTTATCTGAAGAAAAGTTTAGATAAAAAATATATTTTATTTTTAACTAGAATATAATATTTGTTTTAAATATTATATATGAATTTTGAAAGAATTAAAAATACCCATTATCTATGAAATAATAGGGAAAAAAAACAGTTTTTTGGAATGTCATATTAATTTTGAAAGTTAACTGAAGACACTTTAGATATCTTAACGTCGAGGAACGTTTATTTTATTGGAATATTAAATATTAATTTTCGTTAATAATGATGCAATATTTTAAAATAAATAATATACGATTTTCGAGTGTAATAAAAACATGCATTATTAATCAAATAATTAAAAACCAACTACTTGGGACTATTTATAAAAATATTTATTTGGAAGCTTAGTTTTTAACATCAGACATTTTAACATTGAAGAACATTTATTTTATTTAAGTTTTATATTTTTGTGCTCTCAGAACTCTATTATAAATGTCCTTTATTGAGACAGATTTTAATATTTATCAATAAACAAATAATCCATTCTAAAGTATTATATTTTAATTTGCGTTAAATAAAATAAAATCATTCAAAAAAAACCTTGTATTTTTTTTTTAGTGGGTTGATGGTTGGTGTGATCAGTCAAAATAAAAATGTTAAAATAAATATTATTATTTATGATCGCCCTAACCATCCTTCTCTTCATTTTTATTATTTTATTTTTTTTTATGAAAATATAGAAGAAAAATTTACGTTTCTAAAAAATGTATAGAATATACTTTTATTTCTAAAAAATCATTTCGAGGCAATCGCCTTTTAATATTAAAAATTAAAATATGTAGAGTAACAGTTATATTATCTGTGATGTTAATAACAGATTTCGAACTCTATGTAAAAAAGTGCATCGTCCGAAATACTTTCAAACGTAAAAACATATTTCCATAACATCTACTATTAAAAAAATATTGGTCGTTACTTCATGAAGAAATTTTAAAAAATGCATTCAATCTTCTTAAGTAATTTGATTTAATATTAATTAAAAATAATTCCGTTTGACTAGCCAGGGGAGGAGCAAAGGGTAGTATTAATCCCAATTAAAGAGTAGGGTCGCATTTTTAAAACGTAAAGTCGAATTCGTGTTTCGTGTCACTTATTATCCGATAATTTCTTACATATTTCACCAAAAAGGGTCATTTGATATTGCTAATGAACCGTTAATGCCACAGGCAGTTTCAGGAATGTTTGAGAAATATGTACGCGTATCGTAACAATCCCGAGAACTGGTCGCTGCCGTTATGCCATTTATAGAAATCCTCAGGGAGTGACGAACTCATCTCAATCACACCGCGAATTATTTTCAATATATATTTATTATATATAAAATATATTTTATAATACATATATATGTATGTTATATATAAATAAGACTACTAATTGGGTAGATCCGATACTAAAAAAAAAAAAAAAATGCTTATACATAGAAGAAGAACGTCTGGAATTCCTGTTCTGCTGCACTGATTCGAATTTATTGATAAAAATAATTTTCTTATTTAATATAATAACGAAAGAAAAATCAGGATTACGTTTCATAATAATAAAAACTAAAAATTCGAATACTGATAAAAAAAAAATCTACGAACAGCGCCATTCATTTTCTTTTTTAAATAAAAAAGATTGGAAACAGATAAGGTCTAATTTCAAATCTCAATGGTTTCGATAAAATTTAGGTCGAAGCCTTCAAATTGTACATTGATCCGGCAATGAAAAAAGAGAAGTATTTTATTTTCTTATAATATTTTCTACCGGTGAATACAACCAAGATTAATTTTATTATTTTTAATTGTACATATATATTTAAAAAATGAATTAATTAATAAAAATTATAGGTTACTAGTCCATTCCGAAATTTATTTTATTTTTAAATTAAGTCAGAAACTTTGACAATGGCAAATCATTGCTTTTTAAAATGAAGGATTCGGATAAGTTATTACTTTATTTCCAAAGTACTGGATTCAATGTATTTAGAATTAGAAATTGCAATATTCCCGAGAGTTATAATTAAAAAATAAATTAATTTAAATTATTATTTTTCTAAACATTTTAAGTTTTTTTTTTTTTTTAAGTGCAATAATTTTCACAGATAATAACAGCTATTTTTATCAGTAACGATTGAGACATGGTTTATAACAAATGATAATTTATGGAATAAGGATATGGGAGTTAAATTTGTTTTCGAAAAAGTTATTGGTATAAATAAATTCAGAGTAATAAGTTGTAATCTTCACGATAGACAAAATGCGAAAAAAATGAACTCAGTATTTAAATTTTTTTTAACAATAAAACTGCTTAGAAAAAAAGTTTTTTTTCAATTTGAATTCATTGATAGTAATAACTAAAAAATCGCTCAAATTTAATATAAATTATTTATTTATTTATATTTTATTTTCAATTTAGGTCAAAATAAAAAATATATATATAAGTGGATGGATTTAATTCTGACAGTTACGTCTGGCGAATTCTATTACAGCAGTACTTTTTTAGTACAAAAATATAACAGTGTCACTATTTTTATCATTCGCGACTAAGACTCGATTTTTATCAAAATAAAAATTTGAGTAAGTCATTTTATTTGAAAATTAGTTATAGATTTGAAAAAAATTCAGAATTTGAAATTGAATCCTACATGAGAGTTAAAATGCGAAAAAAATGGATTTATTATCTAATTTTACGTTATAACTTCATTAAGTAATGTAATGAATTCATTGATACCATTACTTTTTTTTTTTTTTAAAGAATGTACGAAAACAGAACACTATTTGTATCAGTAACGGTTAAGAAATTATTTTTAACGTTTAATTAAATGAAAAAAATATTTTTTTTTTCAAATGAAAGATCCGAAGACGATTTGGGCGTTTTTTTTTTTTTTTTTAAATATAGTTATTGGTTTGAAGGAATTCAGAGTTAAAAGTGGCACTTTTTCAAGAGTTATAATGCGGAAAATGAACTCATAAACTTAGATTTTTCAGCAGTTCATCAATTTGAGTTTATTGGTACTAATACTTCCATTAAAAAAAAAATCATTGGTTTATCAAGTTTTTTTTTATATTCAAAATTTTGGCAAAAATGATTTTAATTTTTTTTTGCGGTTTGGTCTAGTATTTTTTTTTTTTTTTGTATCACTCCAATTTGGGATAAATCGGGAGAGACGATTAGTCCTCCTAAGGTCCTATTATGACTTTGATTATCCTTGCGTACTCACTTTCTGGAGAAGACTCCTCCTGCGTGCCGACGACCCTGCCATCGTGGGAGAGGCGGAGGTAGAAGTTGCTGACGACCATGCGGATCTTGCGGCTGGAGCCTGCGATGTGGCGGAGGTCGGGCTGTGCTGCGAGGCACGCGGTGAGGCAGAGCATCAGAGCTAGCCGCATCAGGAGGGCACCAACACACTCGACATGCCGCCGGCACACTGGCGATCCCCTCCACCGCACGGCTCCGATATAGTTAGGGGGGGACCTCGCGGGGCAGGGGGGGCTGGGCCGGGGGAGGCCTCTCGGGGATGGGGGGACTTCGTGTCTTGGCCTCGTCGGCTAAGGTTTAAACTATTGAGTCAAAACTCACTTTAAAAAAAAAAATCTGGTGCGGTGCGCGCATCACACAACTTTCACTTACCATCCTACTTAAATGGCTGTACATCAAAAATTTGTTTAAGGAAAAATACACCCTCAGAATTTATACTCCGTGGCACAGACAACTTTTTATCAGATTATTTACATCCGCCTGAAATTGAGTAAATTATTGCCTAAATACTAGACCAAGAGGAGTTTTGGTCTTGCTTACTCAATCTTGATCTTGGTCTTGGTCTTGCGCAAGAGTCTCGCAGTTACATATTAGCTTATTACTATAGATGTATTACTGTAATTTACCAGAATGGGGAAACATAACTTAACTCCGAATTGGAAGAGTTAAATGCCGAAGTATATTGGTTCTACCAATTCTTTACATATAGTAACTGAAATTGTCTATTATTAGTAATTATTATGTCTTAATTTTTATTTTAAAAAACGATTTTTTTTTTTTTTTTTATCAGCCTTATCCTCGGCCTTGCAAAAATTAGGCATTCTTTGTCTAGGTCTTGAAAAGTGGAAGATCAAGACCGATTTTGGGCAACACCACTAACCAGCACCACAGGAAGTGGAAGTGAAAGATTTGAGAAATATATCCTTAACGCAAGGAAGAGAAAGACCAATTAATTTAATTAATTTGGGCAAGATCAACCGTAACTTACAACTATTTTATTTAATAACTGGTAAATGGTTGACTGTCGAGGATAATGAAGAGAAGTATATTTGGGGTAGTCAGTCAAAAAAGAAGGCAAAAATAAATAATAATATTTATTTTACATATGCCGACGTTTCGACCTGAAGTTCAGGCCATCATCAGGGCTAAGAAAAGAACCAGATAACAAGGTATGAGAAATATAAAAATTACAGTAAAATTAAGTTGTAAGAATAATGACAATAGTAAGAACAAGAGACAAATAATTTCTTATACCTTATTATAATTTCTTATACCTTATACCTTATTTCTCATACTTTGTTATCTGGTTCTTTTCTTAGCCCTGATGATGGCCTGAACTTCAGGTCGAAACGTCGGCATATGTAAAAATAAATATTATCATTTATTTTTGCCTTCTTTTTTGACTGACCACCACTATTCTTCTCTTCATTATTATTTGATATTAATTAAAAATATATATAATATAAAATCGATTAATTTTTTTCACTTTCGAATTGTTGTTAAAACATATTTCATAAAATAATAATATGTAGAAATACTTAAAACAACTGAGTAGTAATAGTAAAGTATGTCCGCATTGCAACGAAATTTTGTCAAGGGTTAGCTCAGCAATGGTTTATTGTAGACTTTTGAAATTTTAGCATTATATTAAGGTTTGCTTGACTTAAAACATAGGCTTTAACTGAAAACAAAATATTGACAATAACCAAAGTTATGAATTCTTGAATAATTTGACTAGAGATCTCGGATAATGTTGATAATAAATGTTAATAATAAACATATATTTATAGGTTAAAAAACATCAATATAAATAAATAAAAAGTTTTGTCTGTACATTAAATAGAATCAACCCATTTCATGATATCTTTCCGTTTTATACATTACAGACACCAAATCCACTTTTAAAAAATTTGTTTGTGTCTGGGTGTCCGCATTTCCAACGAAATTTTGTCAGGGTTAGCTTGGCAATGGTTAATGGTAGACTTTTGAAATTTTGACATTACATTTAGGTTTTGCTTGACTTAAAATAAAAACAAAATACTAATTAGAACCAAAGTTATGAATTCTTGAGTAATTCGTTTAGAGATCCCGGTTAGACAGTTACTTCGATTCTAATCCCAACCTACTCTACCGCGAGCCAACAGTTGTACTACTCAACTGATGGAAAATATTATCACAACTCAAAGGGAAAAATCCGGAATACCGGACATCTGTAACGCGTTGTCGCATAAAACGGGTCACACTCATTTTTTAACTTTGTCCGATCTTCCCGTTCAAGGTGTCATTCAATTCAACTTTCTGAGCCTAACAAATATTGGTGTATATATTTTTAGGATTAACCCCCGCCTTATATTTTTTAGAATTAAAAAAATTCACCCCGCCCGCCATAATATTTAGATCAAGTTCTAATTTTAAACGGATGTAGGTGAATCAATGTCCAATATTATTTTGGTCATTTTGCCACCCATAAACTCAGGAGGATTTAAAAGAGTAGAGAGTATAACTCCTTTTGATTAATTAATCAACTCCACAATCTCCTCGCTTCATCATAAATGAAAATTAAACACTTAACAAATTTTAATGGATGGTTGGTGGTCGGTTTAGTTGTGTGGTACCTAAACAAATAGCCGAATAACAAGATTTTTTTTATGACTATTGCGAAACCTCGACTTCCATAAACCCCGCCATAAACAATTTCAAAACAATCCCCCTTTCTCCTCCCGACCCAATTTTATGAAATTGAATTTGGAACCTCCTCTCCCCATAATACAAAATCCATCTCAAAAAAATATTCTCAAATTTTAACTATACACCCGTCAACGATGGGGAGCTCAGCTAGTATAATATAAAATCTATTAATTTTTTTCACTTTCGAATTGTTAAAACATATTTCATAAAATAATAATATGTAGAAATACTTAAAACAATTGAGTAGTAATAGTAAAAGCTTTCCAATTATTCTGGTGTTTTGCTTTTAAAGAGATTTTAGAAAGGAATTAAAAATAAAATCTCGCCTTGAGCAATTAACAATTCCCTAAGATAAAAGAAATCTACCAAAGCTAATAATGGCATATTGGATAATAACAATTGGATCAGTTAATAATTATTGTTACTCATTTGTTTTAAGTAGTTTTAAAATCTATCAGTTTGTAGTACAAAAAGCTTTTTTTTTTTCAAATTATTAACATCCACCTGAAACTTCTCATATAGCTTCATTTCATTGTAACCTATAACTATTTTATTTACGAAAATTATCGGAATTGGGACGTTTTCAATCTGGAGGAGGGTAAACTTTGTCTATTTAATTAAGTATTCAAAACTCGTCAATACCCGTTTGCTTTCCACTTGGATCGTAAGATAATTTTATTACGAAATCGAGAAAAAAAGTGTCCTATAAAAATATTTGACCATTTGGTCGATGTAACCTCGTTATTTTGATATTTTAGGGGTGTAGGTCACGCCATACTGCTTAATATTTTTTTTTTGAACACCTTTTTTCTCGACTTTGTGCTCAAATTATCTTACGATTCAAGTGAAAAGCATGAGTGTTTACGAGATTTCAGTACCTAATTAAATAGACAAATTTTGCCCCTTTCCAGATTGAGAACACAGTAATTTTCGTAAATAAAATATTTGTAGGTTACGATGAGATGAGTCTATATACGAAGTTTCAGACGGATGTTAATAATTTGATAAAACGGGCTCTGTACCACGGATTATTATTCATCTACAACAGGGTTTATCACAAGGAACTCGAGGGTATACATAAATTGTAATTATCAAATACTTGTACGAAACTGAAATTATGTATATCATAGGAATATAACAGCATCTTTCTCGTTAAAATTGAATAAGCAGAAATGATAAATTACAATTTTAATTAACTCTTCATGGGTCATTCTCGAAAAATAGGGAAATACAGATGACGAAATTTTCGGAGGCTAAAGTCTAACTAACGAAATTTGTTTATTATACATTTGTCCGTAAAGTGCCTCATAAAAATTTTTAGTCTCGTTTAAATTCAGAATTTTAACTTAATGGAGGGAGAGAAAGAGGAAATGTATAAAGACAAAAAATTATTTGTTGTAATAGTACTCATGAATTAATGTTTTTGTCTTGTTTTAGTTGTTTGTTTTTTTGTTGTTGTTTTTTTTGTTAGAACTTATTTATTGAGAAATATTACAAATTGTCTCAAAGGACATTTATAATAGCGTTCAGAGACTACATTCACAATCTATGTACAATAAATAAAAATAGATTAATAATAAAAATAAATAAATAAGAAAAATAAATAAATAAGAAAAATAATATATATACAATAAATAAGGGTAAAATAACCTAAAAATAAATAAATAAAAAAAGAACACATACATACCTATATACATTATTTACTACAGGCCAGGGAACTCCGTGCCAAACTTGTTCCTCCAACTTTGGAAGGAAAATCATCAAAAGTTTTTTTTTAATGTGAAATCACTTCACGATTATGTGTTTATTGAATCATCACATTGACCACCTATAGTTAACCGTATTATGTTGATTACAAACGAAAACTAATGAAATGACCAAACCAAATAGAAACTTTTAAAATTTATTATTTATTTTATTTAATAAAATTTAAAATTATTTATTTAGCTAGCTAAACAAAAAAAAAAAAAAAAAACCGTCGAAATATTCGTGAAGAGTTTCATCTTATTACAAACTAAAACTTTTTAATTGAATATTTAATGGTTGATCGTTGCATTATAAAAGAAGGAGATGTTCCGAGGTTGCGGTCATAAACAAACTGCAACAACAAACTGCGGTCATTTTCATTTATTATATATTACACTACAACAATTGTTAGCATCTATTTACTTTAGTTTAGGATCTTGTTACTCAGTTTACTTAGTCCATATTTTATTGTACTTACTGTTTATAATTTTAATAAGCTTATTCACATTGTTTATAAATTATGTCTAAATGTTATGTAATTGCCACAATTCTCTATCTTTTTGTATCTTGTCCGTTCTAGCCCTGATGAAGACCTGCAAAGTCGGGTCGAAACATTGGCTTTCAATAAAATAGTTTAACCACTATTTAGCCTATTTATGACCGTAGCCCCGGACCATCTCCTTCCTTTAAAACTTTT